GGGCAAGATAGGTAGGCCTATGTGATGACTGACTGCATTATAATTCTAGATTTGTATCTCTTTACAAAGCTTATATAAACTTTGTCTGTCTGTGGTAAATTATTGTACATGTGTTATTTCTCCCACACCCATTATTGGATCAAAAATTATTTATTGTACCAAACAAAGCATGAATCAATAAAGAAACACAATCAAATACTGGTAATTTTGTATGGCACCAACAAGGGTAATAAACCCTTCAGTATTCATAGATATGAATAAATATGTGGGGTTTGGCCCCACTCATTCTTGGATCAAGTTGAAATTTATAAACAATTATAGTACAAAAGAAAGCATATATATAGATCAATTTAATAAAAAACACAATTAGTCAATCAATTATTGATAATTTCTTTGTGATCAAAAAAAGGGAAATGATATCTACATTTTATAAATATATATTCGTAAATGTGGAGTTTTTCTGCTTAGATAAGCTTTGGTTGTTTTTTTTTTAATTTTCATATTTTGCTTGTTTTTAAAATCTTTTTTTTTGTATTGAAGGCATAGATCTGGGCTTATAAATGACATGGTTTTAGATCTGGGCTTATAAATGACATGGTTTTAGATCTGGGCTTATTAATGACATGTTTTTAGATCTGGGCTTATAAATGACATGGTTTTAGATCTGGGCTTATAAATGACGTTTTTTTTTAATTTTCATATTTTGCTTGTTTTTAAAATCTTTTTTTTTTGTATTGAAGGCATAGATCTGGGCTTATAAATGACATGGTTTTAGATCTGGGCTTATAAATGACATGGTTTTAGATCTGGGCTTATAAATGACATGGTTTTAGATCTGGGCTTATTAATGACATGTTTTTAGATCTGGGCTTATAAATGACATGGTTTTAGATCTGGGCTTATAAATGACGTTTTTTTTTAATTTTCATATTTTGCTTGTTTTTTAAATCTTTTTTTTTTATATTGAAGGCATAGATCTGGGCTTATAAATGACATGGTTTTAGATCTGGGCTTTTAAATGACATGTTTTTTTTTAATTTTCATATTTTGCTTGTTTTAAAAATCTTTTTTTTTATATTAAAGGCATAGAGCTGGGCTTATAAATGACATGGTTTTAGATCTGGGCTTATAAATGACATTTTTTTTTTTAATTTACATATTTTGCTTTTTTTTAAAATCTTTTTTTTTTTATATTGAAGGCATAGATCTGGGCTTATAAATGACATGTTTTTAGATCTGGGCTTATAAATGACGTGTTTTTAGATCTGGGCTTATAAATGACATGGTTTTAGATCTGGGCTTATAAATGACATGGTTTTAGATCTGGGCTTATAAATGACATTTTTTTTTAATTTTCATATTTTGCTTGTTTTTTAAATCTTTTTTTTTTTATTGAAGGCATAGATCTGGGCTTATAAATGACATGGTTTTAGATCTGGGCTTTAAATGACATGTTTTTTTTTTAATTTTCATATTTTGCTTGTTTTAAAAATCTTTTTTTTTATATTAAATGACATTTTTTTTTAATTTTCATATTTTGCTTGTTTTTTAAATCTTTTTTTTTTTATTGAAGGCATAGATCTGGGCTTATAAATGACATGGTTTTAGATCTGGGCTTTAAATGACATGTTTTTTTTTAATTTTCATATTTTGCTTGTTTTAAAAATCTTTTTTTTTATATTGAAGGCATAGATCTGGGCTTATAAATGACATGTTTTTAGATCTGGGCTTATAAATGACATTTTTTTTTTTAATTTACATATTTTGCTTTTTTTTAAAATCTTTTTTTTTTTATATTGAAGGCATAGATCTGGGCTTATAAATGACATGTTTTTAGATCTGGGCTTATAAATGACGTGTTTTTAGATCTGGGCTTATAAATGACATGGTTTTAGATCTGGGCTTATAAATGACATGGTTTTAGATCTGGGCTTATAAATGACATTTTTTTTTAATTTTCATATTTTGCTTGTTTTTTAAATCTTTTTTTTTTTATTGAAGGCATAGATCTGGGCTTATAAATGACATGGTTTTAGATCTGGGCTTTAAATGACATGTTTTTTTTTAATTTTCATATTTTGCTTGTTTTAAAAATCTTTTTTTTTATATTGAAGGCATAGATCTGGGCTTATAAATGACATGTTTTTAGATCTGGGCTTATAAATGACATGTTTTTAGATCTGGGCTTACAAATGACATGTTTTTAGATCTGGGCTTATAAATGACATGTTTTTAGATCTGGGCTTTTAAATGACATGTTTTTAGATCTGGGCTTATAAATGACATGGTTTTAGATCTGGGCTTATAAATGACATTTTTTTTTAATTTTCATATTTTGCTTGTTTTTTAAATCTTTTTTTTTTTATTGAAGGCATAGATCTGGGCTTATAAATGACATGGTTTTAGATCTGGGCTTTAAATGACATGTTTTTTTTTAATTTTCATATTTTGCTTGTTTTAAAAATCTTTTTTTTTATATTGAAGGCATAGATCTGGGCTTATAAATGACATGTTTTTAGATCTGGGCTTATAAATGACATGTTTTTAGATCTGGGCTTACAAATGACATGTTTTTAGATCTGGGCTTATAAATGACATGTTTTTAGATCTGGGCTTTTAAATGACATGTTTTTAGATCTGGGCTTATAAATGACATGGTTTTAGATCTGGGCTTATAAATGACATGGTTTTAGATCTGGGCTTATAAATGACATGTTTTTAGATCTGGGCTTATAAATGACATTTTATTTTTACATAGAATTACAGACCTAAATTCTGTTGAAAATGTTTTAAAATTCTTTGTGCTTACAGCATGGTCAGTGCGAAATAGTTTCTATATAATCATTTTTGTAGACCAATGGGGGTGGGGGGGGGTGGGGGGGGGGGGAACTGGGAAAATGATAGGCGCTCTGCAAATACAACTTTGATCGAGCGAGACCAATGTTTAAAGAAGGCCTGAGCACTGGCCTGTGATGTCACACTTGTGGACAGTTTAGATCAATAGAACTCTGGCCTTTGACTTGGGAATTAGTTATTGGTCCAAACTGCCTACTGGTTGCTACATTTCTGGTCAGAGTTGAGGCTTTCTATAATGATTGGTATCGCTTGAATCGAAATTCGAACTCGAGCTAGGATTCAAACTTGAGCCTGTTGAAGTGGTAGCCTAGCAGTTTTTGCCTTTAAGCCACACATCCAATATTGATACAGAAATAGTTAAGTAAGTTTTGGATATGAAAATAAAATTTTATAAATTATTTTATAAATTACAAATTATAACTATAATGCTTTTCAGAAACAACAACAGTAAAAAAGTGTGATCTGAAACAAAGTTTAGATCCATGTAAAATATCAGAGGAATGTTTAACACAAGACAACATAGCTATTTGCAAGTAAGTCATTAAGGTTTTTATTCACTCAGATATGTGTAAGAATTATGCAGACAAATGAATTTTTACTCTTAATCTGGACTTGACCTTATTAACTGTTAATTCTTCTTAAACTATTCCCTGCCTTGATATAATAGCATAGCATTTTCTTCTCATATCAGTATATGAACAAGCTATTTGTTGAGAACTATGTTACAACCTACAACCCCCGTACATGATGCCAAGGATGCTCAATGTCATCTATGGCCGATAATTTACAAGATAACTGTAGTAATAATCATTTTATGAACCATTTTTTAAGAAAGTGTATTTTTGTTTGCCAAAGTATGCTAACATAGACCTTATTTATATATTTTTATATCTACATTTCTTGGAGATATCTTAATTGCCAAAGCACCCCCACAAAAAGATTGTTATTTATAACTTTTTTTTTTAATTATAAATGCAGCATCTACATATAAACTACAAACTGTCCATTAGTGGATCTTTTTGATAGTATCCTTTGGTGAATCCATCTGTGAATCTGTAAAAAGTGGAGGCCAATCAATAGACTTGTTGAAAGATTTTCTTCCAAGTCCAGAAGTGATTGATTCATCATCCACCCCTCTGTCAGATATGACTGGATAACAAGAAGTTCATTTAACCAAATCTATTATGACATCTCTAGTTTCTTGAATTTTTTTTTCACACCCCTTAGTTTCTCTGGTTCAGGTGAGACAGGAGACCAAGCACTCACATAAAGCACATAGTATTACTGCTGCAGTTTAATATTTATTGCTTTATACAATCTTTTCTTTTTTGTCATTAAAGAGGAATATTACATACCATTAGAAATTTTTTTAAATGTTAAAGTTCGGTGTGGGAATGTGTTTAGGACCACAAAGTGTTTATTTTAATTATCTTTATTTTTTTTTTACATCTACTTCTGTTAACACTATGATTTTCTTAAGTCTATAAACTCATGCATGCCTCCTTTTTTTTTCAGGTCTTTAAACTCAAGAGCAGGTAATCGTATTCATTTGATGAACATTAAAGAACAAAAAAAAATGTCTAAAAAAGTTTTGCTCATTTATTTATGTATCCACTAAGTACAAAACAACAGAAAAAGTATTAATAAAACAAAAAATAAGTCTGTGATACTTACTACACTTACCTATATATCTTATGTAAATTACAAACGTTGTTTGAAAAGTGAAGACCAACGTCCTACATTTTAGTAGTTCATGTTTAATTACAGATTTAAATTCTAAAGTCACTTTGGTCTAGTATTTTAATTTTTGAATATCACTAAGCTAGAAGGAAAACAATAGAAATAAGTGATTGTCACGCTAAACAGAGTGGTTACCACTGGAAAAGTTTGTATATGCTGACAATACATTCTAAAATTCAACATTTCAGAAAATTGTACCTAGTATAGACTCATTTTAACTGCCAATTTCTTGTTTAGTTTGTTTAACCCTGTGCAAAAAAAAAAATGTTTAGTTGAGAGAGATGCAATTCATGATTCTCATTATAATGTATTAAAACTATTTCCGAAATTTATTCATTTTTGCTTTATATTTGTATGCCTAATGATTAACCACTGCGTTGATTTCTTTCTTTCAGATCTGTTACATACTCATGTGATTAGGGTTCTTCTCTTTTATGGTATCATATGCCTCCATATCTTGGATTTGCTGACACCAACTTGGTACTGTTGGACTAAGTTCATATTATAACATTTGTAGAGCTACTGTAAGACCTCAAGTCCTGTATGGTGCTAGTCACTAGTTTTGAAGCTTTTGACTGGTATTAGTCAAGAACAAGAACTCCAGATGTAGAAAACAGAACATGACTGAATGAATAGACAAATATGACCTTTTATGTTGATTTATCTGTTATTATGTATGTCATTTTAAAGTCACAATCTTTATATTATTCTTTTTCTTATATTTTTATTTGGTATTGTTATAATTGTCCTACATAAATTTTGTTTAAATTGATATCAAAGGCAATGCAAATTTGTTTATTTTTCTAATGGTGTATCAATCATGATTCACATAATCATTGTAAAATAAGTTACAAAAATTTTTTTTTTTAAACTTATAAGTTTAGACCATTTTGCCAAGACTTCAAGTGAGACTCAAAGAGTCTTGTTTTTGTTGGTAGCTTAGACTTCTGAAGAACTCATTTTAGTTTATATTATAGATTGTAAATAAAAAAAGCACACACATACCAAATGTTATGAATAATAGTAAATTTGTGAAAAGAATCAGTTACAATAAACATAAAAGATAATTTAAGAAGAGAAAACCATGTCTTTGTGGATACATAAAAACATTAAATATTGGAGTTTAATAACATTGTTGTATCTATATTTAAATATTGTTAGTCAATGGACTAAGGAATAATTTTACAATTTTCATTTGAAAGCACCAGAAATGTATTCATCATTACAGTTGCTGAAATATGAAAATTACAATGACAGAAAGTGAAACTGCCAGGAGATATTTCATCTGTAATTTTTCTGTAAAAAAAAGAACACCAGAAATTGTGTCTAATTTGTATTGAAACATAAAAAGATCTAAAATTTTTATTTTAAATAGAATTACTTAAAATGCCTGCCAATGTTTTACGAGTGATCTTCTAAGCAAATAATATTTACCATTTACATTATTGCTGCTTTACACATTATTGATTATTTTTTCTTTTGTAGAAGTTCAGTTGAATTATAGTATTTCAAATAAGGACCACAAGTGAATAAGATAAACACCTGCATTTTTTTTTGGTGTTGAAAAGAGTATGTTTTGATTCACAGCTAATAGGAAAAGTTGAAAAAGAATTATAAACATGGCTATTTTGATATTTGTTAGTCTGAATCTGTGTCTCATTTGAGAAGACTGACATTTACTACTGTAATGAGTGTAAGTAGATTTGTAACAAATTATGTTCAATTAAGAACAATATACAATAGATGGTTGGATAGAAAAACAAAGAGTTCACAACTAAGGAATATGTTTCAAGCACGGAGGAGCATTTCACTAGAAAGTGTATATACAGGCTGACACAAAAAAAATGTTTGTGATACAAAATAATATAATCATAATAAATTTTTGTTTTATTGTAAACTACTATACATCTTACCTGCCCCTGAAATTGATTGTCTGTAAATAAAGAAATAGTAACAAGTTAATAAGATTTTTTCAATGAATGACTTTTCATAGTTACATAATAAAATATCCACAGTACAATCTTAGTGACATAACATTAACTTGATGACAGCTACTAAATACACTATATGTTGGCTACTCACTTGCATACAGCTTCATTATTCTGAACAACACACTTGTACTTGTCTTTGCATGGATCAATTCTTTGTTTCACATCACAAGTACTTGGTTGGACTTTCATAATGAAAAATAAATGTGAACACAAATTCAGATTGATGTGGGCAGTGGCATAGCTAGGGATTTGGGGGCTTGATCTCTTCAGGGGCCCCTACATTTTGACATTCAACATTAAGGCATGAGATAATGGTATATCTAATGTATAATATCAAATGTTAGGATGGCTGCCTGGTCAAGCGGTTTGAACGCTGGACTGTCGTTCAGATTTATCGATGGTCCCGGGTTCAAACCCTGCCTGCTCCCATCCCCCGTCGTCCTGTGGGAGGTTTGGACTAGGAAGTAATTATCCGAAACATGTAAAACATTTTTTTACAAACATGTCAAAAACAAATTTCGGATATTGATTCAGGGTGTTAGACAGAATATGAAGGCATAAAAGTTCTGCTCATTGCATAAATGGGAAAATCTTAATTTCTGAAACAAGGATATGGATAAGATTTCAGATTTTATTAATACAGAATTAGTGGTTTTCTTAAGTGTTAATCAAAGCCAGACAACTGCTAACGACAATAAAAAAGCTCAATTAATGAATTAATAGATGTGTGACCCTTTTATTAGCTCTGAAGATAGAAACATGTGTCTTTACATCATCTTGAAAAGCCATGAAATCTTAAAGGAGAACTAAACTAATACACACTTGAGTATCTTTTATCTCTAAGGTAATTTAGCATTATCTCCAATAAGCCTACCTGTTGTACCATCTTCAACAATCCGCATTATCATTACTGCAGTTCCATTAAGGACAACTCCTTCTGAGAAGATGACTTTCATAGCATTAGACAAACTAGTCTTGGGGTCACTTGAAGAACTTGTGTTGACAGAGACAGTATAGTCACAAATAAGGCTGCCTTTACTGGAGAATACAGAAATTGTAACTAATTAGAAAAAAATGTGTAAAAAAGATAATAACAACACAGTGAATATGATGATACTAAATTACTGCAAAGAGAATCAATATTAAGATGACTTAATATGTAAAGTGAATAAATGATATATAATAATCTATATTTCAATAATCCCTGAACACAATCACCTCATAATTCCAATTAAATTAGAAAGTAAAAAAAAAAGGATAATAGGCTGGTACAATTCATGACATCCAGAAGTCTTAAGTCAAACAACAAGGAAGTGGTGCCTTTATTAGAGATCATTACTATAATACTGCATGATACATTAATGGAGTTTTGTTTTACATGTTTCGAATCTTCCTTCAGAATCAAAGATTATTACATCCAATTCCAAACCTCCTGCAAGATGTTTAAGGAATATTGTAGGCAGGGTTCAAACTCGTGACCATAGTGACAACAATCCAGTGCGCATACCACATGACCTCGCTGACATAAAAACTAAAATACATAATATGAATGCCTATCAGAATTGTGTGTCAATGCAAAGCACATTGTATGTATTATGTAAAACAAACTAATACACAGCAATTATTCTTGTAAGAAATATTCCATAATACAACTCAAAAAGTTACCTGAGTTGAAGTACAATAAATTGAAGGACATCTACATTTTTTTCTTTTAATTTCTTTGTCATCTGAAACATGAAATCAAAATATATCCAAATTTTCAATTTTGACTTAATCTTTTATAGTGTGGCTAAATACAGAACTAGGATAAACTTATCAAATTTACAAACTCTTTTTTTTCATGCTGATATAGAAAAAGTACAATAAAAACAATAATTGTTTTCAGGCCAATTATATAAATACCTGAGTTTCAACTTCTTGTGAGATGTCCTTACAATCTTGACTGTTTTTATCATCTAAATTTTTTGCTGACACATCCCAGCTGAATGTTACAGTATAGTTGAAGGACGAGATTTCTGAGATGGAAAATAATTATGATCAGTTTTTTTTTTTTTAAATAAAACTTGCTGTCATTCTTTAAAGTGTCAACAGGATGAAAGTTCAAGGTTGGTCACAAATGTGGGACAGCTCAAGGTTGGCTGTACTCTATTCAGGTCACATGTAACATAACATTAAAAAAGAAAAAATGCCAGACATCAGTATAAAAATTAGTTCAAAAAGGTGAAGGCCAAAAAATATTATTGAAATGGGTCAAGGTAATAATGATGATAAATCTAAGTAATGGTTATCAGAAAGTATGTCATGGGGCAGCAAGATAAAGTATAAAGTTGGTTTGTTTATTGATTGTCATTAACATTGTTCCTATAATTTTAATTGTATATGCTGTATCTACATTTCATTTTGTAATTGTTTGAAGTTTGAAACAAAAGTATTAAGCTCATAAACGTTATATCAAACACTATGTAATTTCATTATTGTACTAGTGTTGATTAAACTATATTAGCGACACATCCAAACCTGCATTTCAAATGATTGTGTAGAACATACAACACACCTCTTCCTTCAAACACAATTGTGACACTTACATTTCTAACATAAGAATGTAAGTGAATTTTTTTTTAAAAAAAAGGAAACAACATCTGGTCTCTGCAGCTTATGAGACAATGGACCTCATTTACCAATCGTAAACAAACAACATTTAGCCACATGATTCTCTATATCTTCTAAACAAATTAGGTAATACACACAGGCTGTCAGGTGATACAATTTTTCCTTGTTTGATCAATATTATCATGTAGATAAATGTTGTTTGTTTACGATTGGTGAATGAGGTCCATTCTAAAAATATAAAGGAACTATTGGATTTTCAGCCAAGTTGGTTTCACCACAGAAGTTTGTGCAAGAATTTAAAAGTTATAAAATGAAAGAAAATCTTTTAAATTGTGCAGAATTGGCTCCCCCAAAAAATGTGAAGATTTAAAAAGGATTCAAAGAAAAAGAACAAATTCACTACAATACATACTTCCAGTACTGAGGAATCGATAACATTGCATTGCTTAAATTTCAATCTCTGACAGCATCTCTTTCTAAAGAAATTATTTACTGACAAGAGTTTTGATTATCATCAAAATAGCAAGATGAGATTATAAGCATTATTCCCTATATTACTAACACATGCAACAAAAGAAAGTATATTGACTCTTTTTGAAAAAAACAACAACTTTATTATACTTAAATAATTACCAAACTATGAGGTCTAATCAGTCTTTACTATTAGACTTTGGGGAAGACAATGTAAAGCTAATTTTTTTTCTATGGCCTAAAGTTAAATATCTTTTGTGGCCAGCCTAAGTGACTAACCTCTTTTACTTTCCACAACTCATGTTTGGCACCCAATAGAGCTGGCTGGACACCGAAGTAAAACACTATCTGATAAGAATGTATTCACCTGTACACTTTGTGTTACTGTTGGTCCTCAAATAGCCAGTCTGACATGCACACTCATAGCCTGACTCCTTGCTGACACACATTTCATGCTTGCTAACATTACACCTTGGACCAGCACTTCCACATGTCACAAAAGCTGTTGTGGTCGTCCGTGTAGTAGATGTGAGAGTGGTCTGAGTGCTTGTTGTGGAGTTTGCCACTAGTGCGGTTAAACAAGATCCATTGACATGATTACAATCTTGATTAGCTTCACATCTACACATATTAGCACACTGAGCGCCAAAGAAACCTGCAGAACATTCTGAGTAGGAGAAATATTTTGAGATACATACACATTTGAATAGAAAAAAGTATAACTAAATCGATTATTTTTAAATATTAAATTAGTGCAACACAGCTAAAAAATGTCTATTTTTCATGTCTAAACAAACCTAGTGTGAGGCATCACTTACAATATTATAATTAAAGGGAGGCTATGCAGCCTTTTTATTAACAGAGAAGGAATTCACTTTTAAACATATTGTTATA